CCTGTAGCAGCCACATCCGTGCTCAAGCCTCCAACGAGGGAACATGCGGGAGCTGCACCCACCAGCAGGTAGGCGATATCGGCCAGGGGTCAGCCAGTCAGGACCGAGCTTCTTTGATGGGCCAGTCACTGTGCCTCCCCTCCGGCTCCCTCCCCCTATGAACATCAGCAGTCTCTCCTCAATGCCACTTGGGGGAACCAATGGCATATGTCTAGGTGGCGGGCGTCAAGCTTGCCCACGAAGGTACATGAGGCCAATGGGGATTGAACCCAAGACCTCCTGAATGACACTTGCGTGCCTTACCAACTGAGCTAGGCCGCTGGATCTGAAGAACTTTTGCCTTTGGGGGTTCTGTTTTTTTTATTTTATATTTAAGGAAAAAACAAGTCAACAAAAATATATATATAAACTGCGACGAAACAGTTTGTCACATTCCCTCGTTTGTTGTCCTCTTCTCCCTCTCTGCCTACGGTTTACCGGGCAGTTCTATTTGACGATATATATATATATATATATATATATATATCTGAGTGGGGAACCGGGCTGGTCGGGTGACCGACAGGGGCCCGGGGGAGGTCCCGGGCGGCCTGGCCGGGCAGGGCACCCGGTTGGGGGCCGGGCCCCCCCAGCGCATTCACTTGTAGGGGGGTTTCGGAACCCCTTTTTCGTTGGTGTTGGCCTCCCGCAGGCCTACCGGGTCCAACCGGCCCAAGAAATCGTCACGTTGGGCCCGATAGGCCTGCTTTTTCTTTGAATTTTGCGCCGGCTCTGTGGCCGTCCATCCACCATGATCGACGGCCACAGAGCCGACGGTTCTAGGCGCTAAACTTCCCCCGTTCAAACCTGGGATCGGCTGGGGTGGTTTGCCACTCGCCCCCCAGCACGATCGAAGTTGCTCCTGCACCGTCCTGCTGCGCTGTTGCCCATCGCCCGTTGCCACGTGGCCATCGCCGTCACGTCCTGCTGTTGTTGCTACAATGAAGGCCCCGACTGTCCTGCTGCTGCTGCTACGACGAAGGCCCCGACTGTCCTACTGCTGGTGCTACGACGAAGGCGCCGTTCTTCTTCTTCTTCTTCTTCTTCTTCTTCTTCTTCTTCTTGTCGGAATCGTTTAGGGTTTGTGTTGAACGGGCAGATGAAGGCCCTGCTGCCAGGGTAACTGTTGCAGGTAACGACGAAGGCCCCGAAGAACTTCTTCCCCTTCTTCTTCTTCTTCTTCTTCTTCTTCTTCTTCTTCTTGATCATTT